GAATGGAAAGATTGCACTCCCAGCAAGTTGGCTGATGATAACAAACTGGGAGGAGTGGCTGATCCCCCAGAGGGCTGTGCTGCCATTCAGAGGGACCTGGAGAGGCTGGAGAGCTGGGTGGAGAGGAACCTCATGAAGTGCAGGGTCCTGCACCTCGGGAGGAATAACCCCATGCACCAAGACATGCTGGGGCCTGACCTGCAGCTCTATAGAGAAGGACCGGGGAGTCCTGGTGGACAACAAGTTGACCATGAACCAGCAATGTGCCCTTGTGGCCAAGAAGCCCAATGGTCTCCTGGGCTACATTAGGCAGAGTGTTGCCAGCAGGTCGAGGGAGGGGATCCTGCCCCTCTACTCAGCCCTGGGGAGGCCTCACCTGGAGTACTGTGTCCAATTCTGGGCTCCCCAGGCCAAGAGAGACATGGAGCTCCTGGGGAGAGTCCAGCGGAGGGCTACTAAGATGATGAAGAGAGTGGAGCATCCCTGCTATGAGGAAAGCCTGAGAGAGCTGGGCCTGTTCATCCTGGAGAAGAGAAGACTGAGAGGGGATCTCATCAATGTGTGCAAGTATCTGAAGGGAGGGTGTCGAGAGGATGGGGCCAGACTCTTCTCCGTGGTGCCCAGTGACAGGAGAGGAAATGGGCACAAACTGCTTTACACAAAATTCCATTTAAAGATAAGAATTTTTTTTTTTCCTGTGAAGGTGGTCAAATACTGGAACAATTTACCCAGAGAGGTAGTGGAGCCTCCTTCCCTGGAGATATTCAGAAGCTGTCTGGTCAGGGTCCTGGGCAATTTACTATAGAGGACCCTGCTTGAGCAGGGGGGTTGGACTAGATGATCTCCAGGGGTTCCTTCTAACATCAACCATTCTGTGATTCTGTGAATGATCAAATATTGGAAGGATTAAATCCTGAGTCAGCATGAAAGGACATAAAATCCATCTACCTCTACCAGCTTCCTTTTGAGTTTGTGGACATTTAAGTTGCCTTGATAAGAAAGAGCATTGTGAGTACATTTTGGAGCTGCCAGGTTTCTACAAATGTTGCTTTCTAGAAATACAAGGTATAGTGAAATTTTTAGTAACATGCCCATCTCCAGCATGCACCTGTTGTCTAAAAGTATACCAGATCCTCTTTCACAGTCAATGAGTTTAGCTCCTTGACCTTTAATTCACGGCCAGAGAAAACCATAATAGAAAATGTAGAGAGTTTGCAGACTCTTCAATGAAGCTTTCTTCTGCCTTTATTTAAGAGTTAGTGTACTAAATTCAGGTGCTCTGTAAGAGAGGTACATAATTTGGTTCCATTTTTGCTAGACAACTTGTTTTCAAGTGCTTTGA